CTTTTTTTTTGAAAGGTTCCCCCAAAAGGTTCCCGCAAAAAAAATGTTTCCCCGAAAGAAAAAAAAAGGGGCCAAGGGGGGGGTTTTTTTCCGGGGGTTTTAACCGGGGTTCCAAAAAAAAGGGGCGGGGGGCCAAAAGGGGGGGGTAAAAAAACCCCCCCGGGGGGGGAACCCCGCCGGGGCCCAAAACTTTTTGGAAAAAGGGGGGGGGGAGGGTTTTTGGGGGATTCCCCCCCAAAAAGGGGGGGTTCCCCCATTTTTTTTTTTTTTGGGGGTATTTTTAAAATGTTTTTTTGAAAAAAGGGGGGGGGAAAACCAATTCAAAAAGGGTTTTCAATTGGGGGGGTGCCCCCCCCCCCCCCCCCCCCCGAGGTCAGTGGTCCAAAGACTATGGCATGCACGGCTATGAATACACCCCCCCCCGCCCCCCGCCCCCCCTTTTTTTCGCTGCCAAAACATGATAAGAATGTAGACCAACACAGAAGGATGTACGAGTTGGAGATTATGCCCCAATCGAAGGGAGGGATGTGTGTCTGCTGTTCTTCGTACGCAGCTGTGAAACGAGAGGGGTGATCATTTCACAGGCGTCGGTTTTGTCCCACGCCTTGGCGGTGTACCGTACCGTGAACTACGGGGGTCTTTTCTGTGTGGCCTTGCGTCATAGATTGAAGAAACAACGGGCGTACCCCCAACCAACTGTGTTGTATAAAAACCCATGGACAATTAGTCCAGGGTAACCTAGCGCAAACTTCATGGTGGCATGGTGACCGGGGGTCGAAGCACTCTTTTTCTTTCCTTCCTCGCTTTCTCTGTTCTCCGTTTGCAATTGCTACGTCACCCCAGTGCATTCGAGAAGGAGCGCACCCCCCTTGCAAAGGATTCTCTCAACCCAAGGACAATATTCCTGACGTGATAAAGTAGTGTTCAGGGATCGAACCACTTAATTAATTAGACTTTCGCCGCGCGGTGGTGACGATCCGTGTTCGTATGGGCACAAGCCGCAGCAATGATGATGGGCCGGTGGCGCCCTCTCGTTGACTGCTACTCCCAAAAACGGGCCGCACACAGCAGTAACTCTCTGTCTCTCACCCCCGCCTGCTTCCGGTCGCCCGAAGAGCCGCCACCACGACTGTTTCTGCTCTCCGTAGGCAATATTCCTGACTTGATTGTAGTGTTCAAGGGTCGAAACACTTCATATTTGGCTTTCCTTCCTCACTGCTGTGTCCGCTTTTTACGATTGCTACACCACTACAGTTCACTCGGGCAGAGCTGGAAGAGCTAGAGGCGGAGGAGGAGGGCACGGGCAGGCCCGGCAAGCGCCAAGGGACCAGAAGCAGTTCGGTGGCAGGGCAATCACACGCCGGAAACGGGGTGCGTACATGTAGCTTCTTTTTTTTTTTTTTAAATCCATTGCTATTGGTCTACCCCACTCTTTTTTTTTGTTGGAGAAGATGTGAATTCTTGTCTTTAATAAGGGGAAAAGAACACGCCGGAACCGGGGTACGTAGTTTGTGCGGGTTGTTGTTCTTCCGAATGCTTTTTTTGGTTTTTATAAAAAAGTTGCTATTGGTCTACCCCAGACTCTTTTTTTTTCTTGGAGAAGATGTGAATTCTTGTGTTTCATAAGGGAAAAGACCAAATTGTGATTTATTTCCGTCGGGAGCGTGTGCGGTGAGTTGGCCAAAACTTGTTTCGGGCAACCCATTATCAGCATTAACTGCTCCCCCCCCCCCCCTTTACAAACAACTTGAATTCTCTGCTGCTAAAATGGCTGCCGCGCTGTGCTGTGTAGGCTGTCTGGGATGGCACCCCTGCCGCTGCGCAGGGTGCGGACAGCGCGACGCAGCTGGAGCTGCTGTCGGCCGCTGAGGGCGAGCTACGAGTTGCCTTTGACGCGCACATGAAATACCTCTCCGAGGTGTGTGGCATTTGTGTTTTTTTGGTGGTTATCCTAGACGTTGGTCCTTCCTTCCACCTTTTTCACTTACTATTACACAGCAGTGCTTGGTTTTAGGAAGAACGATTCATGCCGCACCTGAACGTTTCTTGGTCGACGTGCATACCGGAGGGGAGACGATTTTTCTCCACGAGTAGAATTAAGGATGGGTTTGCATGTTTGTTTCCGATGAGGCGTTCTCGCCCACTTGGTTGTGGGCCCCCCGTCGTCGATTTTTCTCCCATGACGTCATTTATCAACTTGTCGTTACGCCCCGTGCGTAGTGAAGATAACCAGTGGTGTTTAATTGCCGGCGTGTGTAGCCACTCTCTCCTCTTTTCTGTCGTTGGGGGGCGTCTGTCTATCGACCGCGTGTTTTTTGTTTTAGGTGGAGGAGGCGAAAAGGGCGGAAATGGCGGCGTTCCAACGAGCGGGGGAGGCGGCCTTGCAGAACATGGAGCGGTCTCGCAAGGTATCTATGCCATCTACTGCTGTATACATATCTATCTCGTTTGTGGCACTGTCTGAACTGACAAGAACAGAATCACTAATAAGGTCGGCAGCGCGATTCTGTTTTTTTTTTCGTTGCTTTGCCCACGGGTGCCTTTTTTGTTGCGGTTGATTGTGTTTTCGTGGTCTACGAAGCCGCATAAATTATTGCCGATTTTCTCTCTTGTTATTTATTCTATCGATACGTCTGCCCTGCCTCACAAAGGAAGAGTGAGGAGTGCCAATCGACCCGAGGCAATGCTGAAGGGTGTCCCATGTCTCCCTCCATGTTGAATGTATTTTTGTTAACTTCTAGGGTAGGGTAATGTTCCGAGGCAATGCTAACGGATGTATGTTGAATGTCTTCATGTTAATCTCTAGGGTAGGGTAATGTACCCGAGGCAATTCTAACGGATGTCTCATGTCTCCATGTTGAATGCCTCCATGTTAATCTCTGGGGTAGGGTACTGCTGTACCTTGTCGTTTCCCTAGGGTTGCGTTGTGAGCACTATTGTTGCTGCCGCCGCTGCTGCTGCTGCTGCTGCTGCTGCTGCTGCTTGTTCTTGGCCGCTATTGCCTGTTCTTTCTACACTAACATTAACAATCGTACCGACCTCTACTGTACATATGTATCCAGGCTACAACGGACGACGGGCTTCGGCTGCACAAGGCATTCCTGAACCAGCGCCAGCGCATCACTCGCCTCCGAATGGAGGTGCGTACAACATGCAGCAGTAGCATCACATCATCCCCAGTGGCGGGACCCATTTTGTTTTCGTTGAAAGGGAGGCTGTGTACGAAAGTGATGGGCGATTTCCCGGAGCTTTGCGCTGGTCCATGACCTGCCCTGCTGGGCACGTCAGCCCGAAATTGATATTTTGACATGGCGGTGCCGGTTAGCTGAGTCGAGCGACCTGTGATGATCGGGGGCTGGTCAGGTCAGCTGCTCATGATGCAAGAGTGCGTCACGCACGGATGCCCCCGAGTCACCCCCGCCCTCCGCTTGGCGCAATTCCTCCGTTAAACACGCACGGCACCGCGATGCATGTGTGCCCCCCCCCCCCCTCCCTCGAGGTCGCGTGGTCAATGGTCCAACAACCAAAGCGTACAAAAACATGTGTACACACCCCCTCCTTCACCCACCCAGGAAGTGGACCAGGAGCGTGCCCGGAATCAGGTGGAGAGCGAAAAGCGCGAGGCCAGACTCAAGGCGGAGAAGGAGGCCCTCTCCCGCGCCTGCGAGCAGGAGGCGGCGGAGCTGGGCAACGCCTGGGCCGTTGTTGAGGCGGCGGCGGGGTTTGCACCGGAAGGAGGCGGTAGCGGTGGTGGCGACGGCGGCAACAATAACGGGGACAAGATGCAACACCTGGTGGCGGCGGCGGCCGGGGGGGGGGGCGGGGGTGGTGGCGCCGGCCCTGCTGGGCAGAACGGCGTTGTTGGCGCTGCCGGTGCCGAGGCCGTGAACGGTAGCGGGGAGGGGGGAGGGCAGTCACCGCCTGGTTTGCTTCCGGGGATTGCGGGAGAGGGGAATGGCACGGTCGGGGAGTAAAAGCAACAAACCCCGAGATATTTTGCTTTGTTCTGTAGTCAAGAGTTTTTTTCTTTTACTACTGTGCCTCTGCCGCTGCTGCTGTCTTGTGGTCACTTGTGGTATCGGTGTGGCGCGTGTGATTTGTTGTTGCGTTGTTGACGGAAGTGTTGCGTCATGTGTTGGTCAAATCATGGTTTTGGTAGGGTTTTTTAGTATAGTCGGTACGTTCGTTGGCTTTGGGTTTTAGCCGTTGAATGCCGGTGGCTTCGGTTGTTGGCTCGGGCCGGGACCAATCTGCTTTTATCCAAAAGTCCACGACACGCACTACAATTTGGGTATGTAGAGGGGTGGCTGGAATGCTGATTAAATAGTTTGGCCCATCCATCGGTTGAGGGGTCGGTGGCGACGGAGGGACCATTGATGAGCAATTCTAACCCGCTTGTTACGAGCGACCATGGTTCCGCTGGGTTGTTTCGACTTCGTCTTCAACATGGTAGGGAGGATTCACCTCCGCGGGAAGCTGTGGTATGGGGGTGGTTTGGTCTGTGGTTACTTGCGTGTCTTGTTTTCTTGGTGTTTTATTTTTATTGTTTTAAGTTGTTTCCTTCGACAACGAGGAAGAAAGGCCAGGGATTAACCAACGTGGCGTGACTGTTTTGTTTTTTTTTCCGTAGCCACAAACGCTTCGCGTTGGAGAGAGACGGGACTTATGGTCCATGCACACTTAGGTGGTTACTTTGCTCGTTTGTTGATTCTTCTTGGTGTTGGCGTTGTCGCTGCTTACGGTTTTTATCGTGGCAATCGGTTGAACATTACCAATCCCGCTGGCTGCGGTGGGGCGGCGAGAAGCCGCCACCAGTGACACACGGGAAGGGGGCGGGCATTTGGTGCACAGCAAACAGCAGCGCGGTGTTGTGTCCTCCGTGAGTGGTGATGTCGTATTTAACACTGCCAACTTTTTTGTGGGGCTGCTGCTGCTACGCTTTAGCGCCCCCCCCTCCCCCCCCAGTGATGGGTCCTGTGGGAACAATGCTCCGCCCTCTCGAGGACGCGTGATCAATGGTCCAACCGGTAAGGCATGCAAAACATATGAGTACGCCCCCCCCCCCACCCCCAGCACAAACATGCCGGGTGATTGCTAATCCAATTTCGGGTGTCGTATTTTTGTTGTTGTTGAGACAGGCATTTGGCCACCGAGGGGGGGGGGGGCATGTCGAAAAAGCGTAAGGATGTGCCTGGGGGCCGGGCCCCCCGGGTTGGTGAGTCACACCCCATGGACGGGGGCCCGGGACATGAAAAAAAAAAGTTGTTGCCTGGATGGGGGTTTTTTGGGCGGGCCCCAAAAGAAAAGGCATTAAAGGGGGGGGGGGGGGGGGGGGGCCAAAGCCAAAAAAAAACTCCCCCCCGGGAAAAAAGGGGGGGGGGGTGGGGAAAAAAAAATTTTTTTTAAAAGGGGGTTTTAAAGAAAAGAGGGGGGGGGGGGAAATTTTCAAAAAAAAGGGGGAAAATTTTTTTCTTTTTGGGGGTACCCCCAAAGGGGGGGGGGGGG